ACCCTAAACACCAAACCCTCAACCCCAAACCCTAAACCCCAAGCCCTAAACCCTAAACCCAAACCCTAAACCCCAAACCCCAAACCCTAAACCCTAAGAGACCGTAATAACTACGAGATGCTCACAATGGATGAGGGTTCCTTACTGTGACTATCTATAATGTATACATGGCCCCTAGGGAGGCCCTAGTGTATGTAAGCTTAACAAAGTCCAGTGCTCCCCCGCAAGCCACAGCAGGGCATCCCAACACCCCAGGGTTCAAGAACCAGCAACAAGGTTTCTTCATAGGGCATGCGGAATAGTTTCCAAACATCGGAGGTAATGTAGGGGCCTTAGTAACCAGCATGGCTTAAGGACCACCTTCCTGCTCACGGAATCAAAGGGTTTTCAAGACGAGGACTCTAAACCCCAAACCCTTAAACCCTAAACCCCTAAACCCTAAACCCTTAAACCCTAAACCCTTATAACCCTAAACCCTAAACTCTTAAGCCCTAAACCCCGAAGCCCTAAACCCTAAACCCTAAGGAGACTGCCAGACCCGCTGCCTTGAAGGCTACCTCACACATGCCTCGCTGATGGCGGGTCTCATCTTCCCTCCGATCGCCGAAGCAGCATCTCGCCATCATAAGTTTAGGGCTTAGGTGTTTAGGGTTTAGGGTTTAGCAGCTGCACGGACTGTCTTACGGGGTACCTATGTAATGGTCACAGTGTACTAGTCATCGTAGCATGCGGAGGAGTACTGCGGCAGTAGTGCTACTTGCCGGCGGTGTCGTAGTTGCGCAGTAAGACGAGGCGGTACCTAATGAAGGCCATCTTTTCGCTGCTTTTGGGCACTCTAGCTCGCATTGTGAAATCCCATCTGTCTGGGATGATGGGGTATGCCGCAGGACACAGAACGACTGCGAGGATGGTCTGGGCTTTAGGTTGAAGACTTCACAAAACCCTAAACCCTAAACCCTAAACATGTCTATGCGCACAGCAGCTTCGGTTCTGCACCCCAGGCCATATGCCTCAAGCACATTTAAAAGCCATGAGTCTGCAATCCTCAGCCCTCGCCCACACCTAAACCTTAATGACCGCCCCACTGCCCTGCGAATATAGAAGCCTGAATAATGTCGAAAATTAATCCTTAGGGTTCCCTATTAGAATTGCAGTACAAAGGAGCCCAAAACCCTATTCTAATGATTAAGGCCCCTAAGCCCCAAGCCCTTGTAGTAGCCCTTATAGAACCCTTTAAGGAACCCTTTAAAGGAACCCTTCCCCCAAAACCCTATTCTAATTATTAAGGCCCCTAAACCCTAAGCCCTTATAGTAGCCCTTCTAGAACCCTTTAAGGAACCCTTTCACCCAAAACCCTATTCCAATTATTCAGGCCCCTACACCAATCCATAATCCCTAAACCCCAAACCCTAGACCCTAAACCCTAAACCCTAAA